AATTTCAACCATATCGTATCGTACAGTATTTCTAAACTTTATATTTGAAATCTCAGGTAACAAACAAGCATTAGATTGCAAGTTATATAAGTTATTTATTATTGAGAAAAAAATAAATAAAAAAATTAGAATTCAACTTTTGGTACGACAAACAAATTTTTGTGACTTAGCAATTGGTGGTTTCAATAAATAGAGATGCTAAAAATTATTTTTTCAGATGATTTTGATCGAAATTTGCAAAAATCTCCATTATTTTTATATAATACAGTAGAAATCAAGAAATTGCCTGATAGTTTGCATTTAAACCTTTCCAATTTTGTTCAAGTACGATCACCCGCCCAAATATTTGTATAGATTTCGTTTTTTATAAAAGGGAATGAATTTTTTTTTCAATTCCATAGAATTTTAAGCGCGTAATTTCGATGGCACAGCAAAAACTTCATTTCGAAACTCTTCAACTTCATGCAGGACAAGAACCAGATCCCACAACAAATGCAAGAGCTGTACCAATTTATGCTACAACTTCTTTCACCTTTAAAAGTGTTGAAAATGCCAATGCAATATTTAGTATGAGGGAAACGGGACATGTCTATAGCAGGTATAATATTTCAAGTGGCGGATAAATTATTATTATTTTATTAAAAAATTCTATAAAATTTTAACTAATTAAAACAACCGTTTATTATTTTAATTTTTTTTTCTAGAATCGATAATCCTACACTAAACGTATTTGAAAAAAGAATGGCAGCACTTGAAGGTGGTGTCGCAGCTCTTGCAACTTCTTCAGGACAAGCAGCGCAATTTATGACAATCATGAATATTTGCGTTGCTGGTGATAATATTATTTCTTCAAGCTATCTTTATGGTGGAACTTACAACCAATTTAAGGTAAATTAATTAATTATTTGCAAAAAAAATAAAAAAAAATAAAAAACATTATAACATGCTAATTATATTTTTAAATAGATTACTTTTCCGCGATTGGGAATTAATGTGAAATTTGTTAACGGTGATAATCCCGAAGATTTCGTGGAATTGATTGACGAAAATACTAAAGCTATTTATCTCGAATCTATGGGAAATCCGAAATTTAACATTCCAGATTTTGAAACAATTAGTGATATTGCACATAAAGCAGAAATTCCAGTAATTGTGGATAATACATTTGGAGCGGGGGGATATTTAATTCAACCATTTAAGCATGGAGCTGATATCGTAATTCATAGTGCAACAAAATGGATTGGTGGTCATGGTACAACAATTGGAGGAGTGATTATAGATGGCGGTAAATTTCCATGGAATAATGGAAAATTTCCGATGTTTACAGATCCATCGGCTGGCTATCATGGAATCAAATTTTGGGATGTGTTTGGTAATATGTCATTTATAATTAAAGCACGTTTAGAAATATTGCGAGATGTTGGTGCATGTCAAAATCCTTTTGGTGCATTTCTATTAATACAAGGCATTGAGACATTATCGTTACGTGTACAAAGACAAGCGGACAATGCTTTAGCATTAGCCAAATGGTTAGAAAAACGAGACGATGTTTCTTGGGTTTCTTATCCTGGTCTTGAATCTCATCCTTATCATGAAAATGCTAAAAAATATATGCAAAATGGATTTGGTTGTGTATTGGCCTTTGGAGTGAAAGGTGGTATCGTAGCTGGTTGCAAATTGATCGAATCTCTTACTCTTACAAGGTACATGTACCATCACCATCATAATATACAAATGTACTATACTGTTGATCTATTTGATTATATGTTAACCTTTCAATATATTTTAGTTATTTGGCTAATGTAGGAGATGCAAAGACTTTAGTTATAAATCCGGCAGCAACTACTCACCAACAATTAACTGATGAAGAACAAATATCTACTGGCGTTACAAAAGATCTTGTTCGTATCTCGGTAGGTTACGAACACATTGATGATATAAAAAATGATTTCGGTAAGTTATTCATTATTTTCAACTATTTTTAAATTTATAAATAACTATTAGTTCTTACTTTTATTTGTATTTCATTAGCACAAGCTTTCGAAAAAGTCAAAGAAACCGGATATGACCATCACAAATATTAAATATTGGGCTTATTTGCGTTATTTTCCTAATTAGTTTAGTAATAACCTGTATGACTGGTTCAAATCAAGAACCACCAAATTATTTGTATTACATGATTTTCCTCCAATTAAGTAATCGTTTGTCGGGATTGCTATTATTAATATAAAGAAACGAAAACTTAAAATTTTATTTGGTTAAATAAAATTCAATATCAAAATTTATTTTTACCCTATTAATAAATAATTTTTTTTTCATTGATTAAGAATGTATACCCCTTTTATGAATGAACTAAAATTCTTAAATATAGTTTTTGTACTCGACTCAATTTGAACAGTCATTGAAAATATTCTGCTTGATTTTTACAGATTCGATTCAACCGACATCACTAGATTTTTTTTGTTTTTGTTTTGTTTTCTTTGTTATATAATTCATACAATGATTAGGTTGTTAATCACATAGTGATCCATGATGTGACTTTAATGGTACTTAATGGGTAAAAATAAATTTTATCTTCGTTACAAAAGATTAAGCCATTAATTCGAAGTCATCTGAATGAATGTTTTTTGATTGAGAAAATGGAAGATTTATTAAAAAAATGACCTATGATATCGTATTTACGAGAATGGTAATTTTTTTTTTTTCAAAGGAAAAAAAAAAAGTTTATAAAAACTGCAGAAATTGTCTTCATATTTCTTTGTCAGGAATTCGAATCTTTAGTAAATAAAAAAGGAATAAATCATTTTATCTAATTATATTTATAAATTAATTTGTTAGCTGAAAAGCAAAAATCTGAAAATTTATCAATATACAAATGACGCAAGGAGACACTCAACAATTTCATTTCGAAACTCTTCAACTTCATGCAGGACAAGAACCAGATCCCACAACCAATGCAAGAGCTGTACCAATTTATGCTACAACTTCTTTCACCTTTAAAAGTGTCAAAAATGCCAGTGCAATATTTAGTATGAAGGAAACGGGAAATGTCTATAGCAGGTATAATATTTCAAGTGGCGGATGAATTATTATTCTTTTATTAAAAAATTCTTTTAAATTTTAACTAATTAAAACAACCGTTTATTATTTTAATTTTTTTTTTCTAGAATCGATAATCCTACACTGAACGTATTTGAAAAAAGAATGGCAGCACTTGAAGGTGGTGTCGCAGCTCTTGCAACTTCTTCAGGACAAGCAGCGCAATTTATGACAATCATGAATATTTGCGTTGCTGGTGATAATATTATTTCTTCAAGCTATCTTTATGGTGGAACTTACAACCAATTTAAGGTAAATTAATTAATTATTTGCAAAAAAAATAAAAAAAAATAAAAAACATTATAACATGCTAATTATATTTTTAAATAGATTACTTTTCCGCGATTGGGAATTAATGTGAAATTTGTTAACGGTGATAATCCCGAAGATTTCGTGGAATTGATTGACGAAAATACTAAAGCTATTTATCTCGAATCTATGGGAAATCCGAAATTTAACATTCCAGATTTTGAAACAATTAGTGATATTGCACATAAAGCAGGAATTCCAGTAATTGTGGATAATACATTTGGAGCGGGGGGATATTTAATTCAACCATTTAAGCACGGAGCTGATATCGTAATTCATAGTGCAACAAAATGGATTGGTGGTCATGGTACAACAATTGGTGGGGTAATTATAGATGGTGGTAAATTTCCATGGAATAATGGAAAGTTTCCAATGTTTTCAAATCCTTCACCAGGTTATCAAGGCGCAATATTTTGGGAAATGTTTGGAAATACGTCATTTATAGTTAAAGCACGTTTAGAAATATTGCGAGACGTTGGTGCATGTCAAAATCCTTTTGGTGCATTTCTTTTATTACAAGGAATTGAAACTTTATCATTACGGGTACAGAGACAAGCGGACAATGCTTTAGCATTGGCTAAATGGCTAGAAGGACGTGATGAGGTGTCTTGGGTTTCTTATCCTGGTATTGAATCCCATCCTTACCATGAATATGCCAAAAAATATATGAGAAATGGATTTGGTTGTGTATTAAATTTTGGTATGAAAGATGGTATTGAAGCTGGTAACAAATTAATCGATTCTCTTAATCTTGCAAGGTACGGTTACCATAAAAACATGAGGGTGGTTGTACTTTTTATTCCAATATAACTTAATTCATATTTTTTTTTTTTTTTGGTATTTAGTTATTTGGCCAATGTAGGGGACGCAAAGACTTTAGTTATCAATCCGGCAGCAACTACTCACCAACAATTAACTGATGAAGAACAAATATCTTCTGGCGTTACAAAAGATATGATTCGTATCTCGGTAGGTTACGAACACATTGATGATATAAAAAATGATTTCGGTAAGTTATTAATAATTTCATTATTTTCAACTATTTTTAAATTCATAAATAACTGTTATTTGTATTATTAGCACAAGCCTTTGAAATGTTAAATACCCCAGATTCAAATGATTCAAACAAAGAGAAATGATTAACAAATCACGAGCCTTTTATTTTTTTATTTATTTTATTTTATGTATTTTTTTTTTTAGTAATATTTATTAAATAATAAACAATGTGGTTAAACAAATAAGCACGGCAATTCAAAAAAAAAAACAATTTGTAACTTTATATGTAATATTATAATAAATTAAAATGGCACAAATTTAGAAATTTAACAATTAACAGACAGATAAGGGAAATAATCGGAAACGTTATTTATTTATTAATAGAAAATGCTCTTCATATGTAAACAATTCAACCAATAACCTAATTAACCGGCTATTATTAACATGTCCAATAAAAAATAAATAACAAATCCTTTTAAATCGACTCTCCCCCCTTTTTTTCAAAAAAAAATAATAGTATTTCACTACTTTACGAAATGATTTTATTACCAGATGATTGCATTTACGATATTATAAAATATTTTGAAGATGATAAAATGTCCTTATTTAAATTACTTGTTGTGAATAGAACTTGGTGTAGAATGGTTATCCCAATATTGTGGAAATATCCATTACAACGTCCAAGCAAAAGGTCTAGAAGATTAATAATTCGGACATACATTTCATGTCTTAACCAAAGAGAAAAATCCCTGTTGATCTCACAGGGTATCTTAACGATGGAAGAGGCGACTACACCGTTATTTCCATATGCGAAATATTTAAAAAGCTTATCACAATTTGATTTATGGATATCGATTCGATGGTGGTTAGAACAGAAAGAAACCTATAAAACTTCAATAATTCCAAAACTTATTACAAAATTTTTTATAAATAATGAAAAATATTTAACAAAATCTTTGCAAATAGAAAATTTGTTTGAACATTTATGGAACATGATTATGAGATGTAGTTTTAATCTACATTCGTTGGAATTTACTTCAGCTCATGAAAATTTAGAGACTTCTAATTTATTAACAACAATCTATAATAATCCGGGATTAACATACTTGAAACATTTGGTGATTAGGATTTCCGAAGAAAATTTGAAATTAAAAGAGTTATTAAAGACGATTCCATTAATTTGCAAACATTTAAATCATTTAAGTGTTTCAATTAACGAATTAATCGAAAAAGGAATAATAGTTGATATCATTAATTCTCAAACAAATCTTAAAACACTTAAATTATGGGCTAGTAATCACATTTTAGATGGAATCATGAATGATTGTTTAGTTCAACCGAAATTATCAAATACATTAACTTGTATTAATTTTAATTCTAATAATTTTAATGAGATTTCTTCATTAAAAGGATTGGTTAATTGTGTCAATTTAAAAAATTTAATGTTTAACCATTGTAAAGGTATTGAATTACAAAATTTTGATGATTTATCAACATTCAAATTACAACTTTTTTCATTAATTTTATTAGATAATAGTTGGTCAAGTGAAATTACAGCTATGATTATAAAAACATTCTGCAGTGACAAATTAACATTTCTGTCATTTGACACCTTTTCTAGTGATATTATTAAAGCATTAATTACCACAAATTCTATTAATATTACGCATCTTAAAATATCAAAATGTTTTAATCAAGAAATGATATTGTTCGATTGGATAAGTAAGTTAATAGATTTAAAGGAACTTAGAATTTATATTTATGATAGCTACGGTATAACTCATGATGAAATTCTCATAATGTTGGGAAAAAATTTACTACTTTGCAATGAATTAAATGTGTTACAGTTACATTTTGATTTTACTTTAGATGGTCTTAAAGAATTTTTTAACTTATGCCAAGTAAAATTTAAAATTTTACAATTAGATGGTAAATTTAATATCGATAAAGATTATTTGGAGAGCATTAGAAATTATGTATATAGAAAAAATGATAATTTAAAATTGATTAATTTATTATATTTGAGTAGCATTTATGTTGGTTGGGGTCATGATGAATGGAAAATTGTGAAAGAAATTGAAGCTAAAGGTGTTAAAGTAACAAACTCTAAACAGATTTAATTAAACGAGTTATTTTTTATTTTTTTAAAATTATTCTAAAAGTTTAAAAATTATTAATCATTTCCCATAGAGCAATAATTAATTTATTATTCATATTAATTATTCGAGCGTTTAAGCTTTTTTCTTTTTTGAATTAATAATCGTAAAAATGATCACGTGTATACTAGTACCAGCAACAATTTAGGATAATTTGACTCCTGACCTAATTTGACCTAAAACTGACACTAACCTAACATATAATGACGTGACAAATAGGATTGCACAAAGAACGGCATGAAAAAGCGAAAGGCGATTCTGGTGTTAATCACCGTAATCATACTAGTCAAGATTGAGTGATTGAGGTTTTTTTTTTAGAAATCTTCGGAGCGATTATATTTTTAGGACTTAAATGTGAAAATATGATCGGCACGTGATTTTTCCGGTTGTTCTTCGACAACTGAGCTATTTACATGTATCAGTTCTTGATGCAGCAAAGTTCACATGGGTTTGATATTTGTCATTGATGATAGCCGAATTTTTTCTCACATTTTATTCTTTATCTGAATTTTGGTTTAGAAATTACGATTTACAGAAATTATTACAATTTAATTCGTTAACTTTTAATTCTTATTTTATCGAAAAGTGAAATTTTTAGTTATAAGTTTTTTATGACGTAATAAAAGAATATATCTATAAAGAATAATGAATAATTTTAAATTCAACTAACAAAGGCTAAAGAATTCAAGGAAATGAACTGGTTATTGACAAGTCTTCGATTTATCCCTTCCATCAGTAAGTTGATAATAATAGTTCTTGAAATTAAAGGATAATAATGGGTGAATTAAATCCTGTTTGTATTTTCTTGATTCCACATTACATATTAAATGGGATTAATTGATCAAAATGTCTTACTCATTAGGTTATTCGTCGTTGTTACCCGAGTGAGGTCAAGAAAACATCGACCGGAAGGGGCTACCAATTATGGATGTTATCGACATTTTAATTTGTCAATCGGGATAGAACAAAAGTGTACAAATCTCCGAGCCTAGAGACAATAATGTTGAGGCATTTATGTGATTGGTGTTTGCCATTTCCATAAAGTTAACCGCCAAAAAAATCATGCCGATCATTTCGTTTTGCGTTATTTTTGCGAAATTAGCTTTCGATTCATTAACTATTTGAGTTATCGTTTACTTAAATATTTTGATGAGCTATTTTTGCAAATTCATTGACAGTTTGATTAACGACACATTTATGAGTTATCTGTATATCAATCATTTTAATCAACAAGTAAAAACAATATAAATACATCTTTTTTTTCCAAACTTTTTTTTTCACCACGATTGAAAAACAATAACAATAACAAAAAAAATCACCATTAAAAACAATCAATCTAACAAAATGTGCAAAACCTGTACTTGTGGAAATTCTTGTGCATGTGGTTTGACTTGCACTTGTGAGCAAACCATTCAACGTACCAATACTGATCCTTCTTGCGGATCCAGGTAATAATTACGTCGCGGTCATTTGCCTTTTCTTTTTTTATCTTACATGAAAATATTGACTCTCCAAATGTATTGAATCATTAATTATATAGCAAATGCGGATGCGGAGAAACTTGTACTTGCGCCGCTGGAAATTGTTCTTGCGAAAGCAAAAAATAAATTATGAACTCTAATTTCTTGGTAAGTTACCATACTCAATATATTCTAATTGAATCAAACTTTAGAATTATCTCTTTAATATCTTTATATCTATTTTATAGATACAATAACAATTTAAATTTTCAATCGTGTTCCTTTTTTTATGAAATTGTTTATTGTCATGAATATGTAAATGTTATAAATATGTTTTAATAAATTTTGATCTTTTTATTTAAAAAAATATTGAAATATTTATAATATCACTAAATGATTTTTTTGATAAACTCTTGAATAAACAAATTTATATAATGAACAAGTATTTTCTACTTTAGATAAGTTTTAATCAAAAATTTTTGTCATCACATCATCGAAAAGTGCCTTTAAATGGGAATAGATGGCAACGCAATCGTCGGTTACAAATTTTTTTGATTCAGTAATATGAATTTATGATTCATAACCATGTGAATTTAACGTATTATATACACATCATCCTACTCATTAATCTTCCTTAAATTAGACAAAATTCTTTTAAAAAGATACTTTTTTAAAAAATAAAAAAATTATCCTCATTTCAGTACAGCATACATGATTTATTTTTACTTAGTTCGTTAGCCACAACGAGTATCAAAATTATTATTATTCTGATTGCGCGGACTTGACTATGAGACACTCGATACAAAGTATCGAGTAATTAGCAAATTTATTATTAAAAGTTTTAAAAAAGCTGAAATTGGTGGATAACATCATATAAGTACATTATTAAAATATTCGTTGTGTACGATATTAATTAAGAAGGTAGCTATATAATTGTTAAAGATCGTTGGCTATGACCTTGAAATGACCTTATAATTTGCCATCACTGATTAAAGAAGCTTCATCTGATTCCCTTAACTTGAATCCTTGAGTTGGCTCATATACAAAGAAAAACTGATCCAGAACATCGGTTCCAACAAGAGAGCTGTCTACATGACTCTCTGCCAAACTCTGAGAGTATATATACTCCATCCATTATTATCTCCGATAGAAACTTCAAATGTTGACGATGAATAATAAACTTAAGCAGGGTATCCATATACAGCCCGATTATTCCATCCTTTTCTTCCAAGTGTGCTACGGATATAATAAGGAAGGGTCGTTTCCATCGCACCTGAATCGATTACTGATTTATACAATTTAATACCCTCAACCGAATCACGAAAATTGTACCCAAGTATAACAGAACCATTCTTTGTTGCTCTACATTTAAACAACCACATTTTAAACAATATCTTGTATATTGTTCAGGTCGACAAGAGCAGTTGAATATTTACAACTTAAACACCAGTCGCCTAATTATCATAAATAATATATACATATATGATTTAATTAAATAATTAATTTATAATCATAACAATTACCTAAATCTGAATGATTTTTATTTCCATGATCCATTATCTGTTCGGTGGCGCTATCTTCTTGATGCACTGTATGGGTAGTATTATATTAAAATTGAGGTACGGATCATATGATTTACTATGTCTCATAACCCACTTTTAATAGATCAGCTCCCATATTATTAGAAGCTTCTCAAAGAGCCTGGTGTTGTAAGCGATGTTGACAAAGAATGAGGACGTAAACAAGGTTGAGAAAGCTAAATAAGCGTCGTACAACAGACAGGAAGACTTCCACCCCGTATACACTCTGGAACAATACCACATTAAACCTGTATTGGTACTTACCATTAAAATAGCCCTGTCTTCTTTCGTGAATACGACTAGCAGATCTTAAATCATAACAAATTTTCAAAAAAGCCCATTTTCGTTAAAGATTCGACATTTATAAATAAAAATAAAATTTATGATTTCAAAAAATTCTTTGTTATACGATATAACACAATCAATGATCATTCCATTTTTGGTAAAAAATATTACGTTTTGATCTATTCATTTGTCAGATCATTTTTTTATTTGTATTGATTCTCATATTTTCATATTTTACAAATTTGGTAAAGGTTTGGTTATATTAAATGTCTTATTGATTGTTTTATGAATCAAAAAAATAAATTTCTTTTCTAAATTATTAAAAGTATTCAAAAGAAATTGTCAGAAGACTTGTAATATATACAGATTTGTATTAGAAAAAATATTCTTTTGATTTTCTCAATCTTAGACTAAGTAAATATATTAAAAAATTATTTTGATTTTCATGATGAATAATATTTGCTTTTCTCATTTTAATCAGATTAATTAACCAATAAAGAAAAGTAATAAACATTTTTTTTCTTAATAATTCTTGATTTTTTAAATAAGAAATTTCTATTATTATAATATTTTTTGGATTTTACATTATAATAAAAATGTTTGCATATATAACAAAAATTTTTTATTTAAATAAAGTATCTGTATTATATAATTTTTTATAAAAGCTTACTTTTTCTTTAAAAAAATACATTATTAAATATTCTTTGATATAATTTATAATAAAATGTATGTTTTTTTTTTACTTATTATACTATAATATTTTTTTTTTTTGGATTTTTTTTAATAGCAATTTTAATAGTAATAGATAAATTTTTAATGCATCAGTTATCATGTATTAGAAGTTTTTTTGATGAGTATTTGATCATATACTTTTATATAATTAGCTAGAATAATTCAAATTCTTCCAAAATAATCATTAAAATTCACCTTTACAATTTATTGAATTTTTTTAAGATATTTGCAAAAATCTAACAATAAGATTGATATCACTTAACTGCAAAGACAACAAACTGCATATCTTAAAGTTCTAGTTTATAAACACTCATATAATATTATTATGACAGTTCTTTAAATTGCTTAACTTAAATAAATGATATACATACTAATGTAGAAGGTTTCCTTCATAAAAAATATGGGAAATATAATTAAAGATTTATAAGTTGATAAAAATATGATAAATACGCGTAAGATAATTGATTAACAAATAAAATTATAGTACTACCTCTGTCAGCACATCTGTACTAAACAGTTTATTTATTAAAGGATTTATAATTACTAAAATAAACTTAAGAAAACTTATAAAAAACATATTACTACTTAATTTTAAACTAATCCTATTTATATAAAAAATTATCCTATATATCATTATAATAATTTAAATAAAGAAAATACAGAAAAATAAGATAATAAATAAAATAGATAAAATGAATACAATAAAATAAATAAAATAAATGAATAAAATAGATAAAATGAATTAAATAAATTATGAATCAATTTTACTACATCAATTTATATCAATCATTTCATTACTTAATTTATACATTAACTAGTTCATTTTTCATTATATAGAGACAAAAAGAATGATTGATACAGTGAAAAATAATATTATAGTAAAGTCAATAACAAAGAAAAAAAAAAAAAGAAAAAAAAAAGAAAGCAAGTAAGTACAATTACAGTATTTCAAAAAAAATAGAAAATAATATTTTACAATAATAATATTAAATATTATTATTATTTTTCTAGAAATAATTATTTTCAAATTAGTTGAATTTTAAAATAAAATATGAAAAAAGGTGGTGGAAAATATATATCTGAAGATATACTAGAAATGTTAAAAGGTTTTTTTATGCTAATAATATCTATAACAGTAAGTGATATTTTTTAAAAGAAATGATCAAAGTACTATAAAAAAGGTAAAAACAGAGGAATTAGAAGAAACTAATTAATATACCAAAATTAAAAACTATTAAAATACTGAATTAGCCAATATTCCTATCAATATAAGCAAATAATAGTCAAGTTTACCTAAATATTAATAAAACCACTTATAATACCTTTATTGTTTATCTAAGTAGATATAAATCACTTTTTATAGCTTTTTTCAATTTTGAATTTTTGTAATTTTTATAATTTAAACTCATAATTCTAAATCATTAAGGTAATTATATAAAATCTATTAAATAAATGTATATTATTTTTTAATGAAATAATTAGTTTAAGTTTTAAGTGATGTTTTTCATTATACACATTTGGTATATTTTATCATTAATTCAGAAGTTTATATTATATTACATTTTTTTAATTATAGTATTTTTTATAATTAATTACATAAAATTGTTCTGATTGATATTATATATATTCTTTTCATTTTTAACAAATTGTGAATTAAATTAATTTTTAAAATATTTTATTGAAATATTAATATTTTTATAAGTTTAATAATAAAATTTATAATATTTACTAAGCAAATTTCAAAAAAAATACCATTTGTTAATAATTTTTTAAGAATTAATAATAAATTATAATAAAAATACAGTATTCTAATTATTTAAATCATAATATCTTATTATCTATTAATATTAGAAATATAAAAATACTCTATATAATATATTTTATGAAAAGAATCCAATATATTAATTGGAAAAGTTACTAGAAAAATCAGGTTCTAAGAATTTTTTAATAAAATTTTGACTTTTATTCAAAAAATTCTTAGAATCTAATTTTCTTAGCAATCTATTCTGTTTATATTTTTTTTTTGCAATCATTAGATAATAAATTATTTTTAAAGTTAAATATTTTAAATTAATATAATTTACTATTTATTGATAAATATAATATTAGATATATGGAAGATTTGCTAGAAAAATGGAGCTCTGAGAATTTTTTTATTAAAATTTTAATTTTTATTGCATTTTAATTTTTTGATAATGAATTAAAATGCAATAAATATTAAAATTTTAATAAAAAATGCTCAGAATCCAATTTTCCTAACAAATCTTTCATATTTTAATTAGATGAATTTAATAAGCTAAATTTTCTCTTTTATATATTAAATATTTTATATTTTATTATTTTTAATAAAGAATTTTATGTTTATTTTTTTTTTATTAAAAATAAATATGCAACTATTAGATTGTAACTAATTTCAAAATTTTAAATATAAGAATTATAATATAAAATTTGTATCTAGATATAACTTTATTTTTTTATATATATGATTTTATATATACTTTATAATTATTATGTTTTTACAAAGATCAATTAAATCTATAAAAAAAAACAAATTTACCTAAAATACTTAAGTTTATTGTCTGAAGCATAGCGGAGAACATTTGGAATGAGTGCCAGGAAAATTGATCAAATTGATTTTTTTTAAAAAAAAAAGTTCTTAAGTAAATAAATGTAGATTTGGTCATCTGATTCAGATCATTTGTTATTTCAAAAATGCAAGGTCATTCTGTCCGTCCAAATTTGGCAAGCCTGATAACTAATGACATTTTATTTACGTTATCACGTAGATGTCTTTTGTGTTACAAAATAATTAATCATGTGAAATATGATATTATAATTTATATACTATACCACAATGATGGCATTTGGCCATGGCCAAGGCTAATTTTTTGGCCATTGGCCAATTTGGCCAATCAGCCAAAATAATCGGCCAAGATCTGTGGCAAAATTTAATTGGCATTTAGCCATTTTGGCCAAAATGACCAAATGTCAAAGGTCACATGACTCTGCCAATTTTTTTGGCTTGAATATTCAATATATTGCATTTATTCAATAATTGATGCCTCTGACGTTCGGAACGGTCAATTAACCAATCAAATTAAACAAAATAAAATATTTAAAAAAAATTTTTTTTTGTCTATTTTTTTTTTAAAACATCTTTAAT